AAATATTGTGAAGAGAGCAGCAACAAACATGGATGTACAGGTATCTCTACGGTACAATGAGTCCTTTGGGTATATGCCAAGGGGTAGTATCACTGGATCATATGGTAGGATCCGTTTTAGCTTCTTTGCGTGTTCTCTACACTGCTTTCCACAGTGGTTGCACGAGTTTGCATTCCCACCAGCAGTGAATGAGTGTTACTCTTTCTCCACATGCTCTCTAGCATTCAGAGCCTTTTGTTCTCTTGATCTTAGCCAGTCTGACTGGGGTAAGATGAAATCTTAAAGTGGTTTTGATTTGCATTTCTCTAATTACTAAGGATGCTGAGCACTTTTTAAGGTGCTTGTTAGCGATTTTTGTTTCTTCACTTACAAACTCCCTGTTTAGGTCTATAGCCCAGCTTTTTATTGGGTTGTTTATCTTCTTATTTCTTTCTTTTTCGAGTTCTTTGTATTTTCTGGATATTAATCCTCTGTTGGATGTGTATCTGGTGAAGATTTTTCTCCCACTCAGTGTGTTTCCTCTTCCCTTCCCTATTTGTTTCTTTTGGTGCACAGAAACTTGGTAAAATTTAATGAGGTCCCACTTACTGATTTTTTACCTTAGTGCCTGAGCAGCTGATGTCTGATTTATAAAGTCCTTTCCTATGCCTATATCTTGGAGGGTGCTGCCTATGTTTTCTTCTAGCAGTTTCCATGTTCCAGGTTTTATATTGAGGGATCTTTGATCTATTTGGAGTTGACTTTTGTACAGGGTGAATGATAAGGGTCAAGTTTCATTTTTCTGCAGAAGGAGATCCAGTTTTGCCAGCACCATTTGTTGAAGAGTTTATCTTTCCTCCATTGTGTGTTCTTAGCACCTTTGTTGAATATCAGGTGGCTGAAATTATATGAACTCATGTCTGGGTCTTCTATTGTGTTCCATTGATCTACATGTCTATTTTTGTGACAGTACCATGCTGTTTTTGTGACTATAGCTCTGTAATATAATCTGAGATCTGGTACAGTGATCCCCTAAGCATTATGCTTTTTGCCCAAGACTTTTTAGGCTATCTGAGCTATTCTGTGATTCCATATGAATTTTAGGATGATTTTGTCAAGCTCTATGAAGAATGTCATGGATATTTTGATTGGGATTGCATTGCTTTTGGTAAGATGGTCATTTTCAGAATTTTGATTGTACAAATCCATGTGCATGGTAGGTCTTTCCATCTCCTAGTGTCTTCCTACCTCTTTCTTTAGAGTTTTGAAATTTTCATTGTAGGGATCTTTAATGCCTTTGGTTAGCTGTATTCCTAAATATTTTTTTTCAGGCTCTTGAGAATGGGAGGGTTTTCTTGAGTGCTTTTTGTGATTGCTTGCTATTGGTATATAGAAAGTCTACTCATTTTTGTAAGTAGATTTTCAGTGAGGTAACCCAGACCCAGAAAGCCAAATGCCTCATGTTCTTTCTCATATGTGAATGCTGGCTTTGAATCTTTAGATATGTGTGTTTAAACTGGAATACCCATAAAGTCAGGAATAGAATAAGATGCTATGGGAGATACAAAGGGAGGAGAGATAGAGCACAGGTGGTATGAAGAGAGGTAAGGGGAATAATGAACAGGAAGGGTTAAATGTGGTTGGGATAGGAGGACAGGGTACAGGAGGGAGTATGGGAGGGATAACT